GTCGATATGGAGATGATTTTTAGTATTTTTTTTTATGACTGCAACAAAATAAACCGCTGATATGGTCTCAAAGAAATAGAACGAAGTGCAAGAACAATAGCCACGCAAGTAGGAAAAAAACAAACTACTGGTTAAATTAACATTCAAAAACTCACTGCAGAAAAGGACAGACCTGTCTTCGGGGCTCAAAACGTATTGTCAATGTATGTACAAGAAACGGGTCCAATGGGGGATCATCTGGCTTCACAGGGCGGAAGGATGAAAATGGCACTCTGACCTGCCAGTCATATATAATAGCACAGCAGGAATCTACATTAAAACCATTAACAGGTGCTGAATATAAGGTATGACACAAACTGGTAGCATTTGAAAAACAGGATGTTTCAAGGAAAAGGGATGAGAAATTTTCTTACCCTACAAAATCCAACTTTTGTGCTAAACCTCGAAAAATACAATTTGCTTTGAGTTGTATCCGCTGAAGGACCAGCTTCAAGAATTAAAACATATGATCTTCCATTCCCACCAACAGAGAGAACTAGACCTTCGTACCTGACCTCCAAAATTTTGATTGTAGAAGCATAACAAGCCATACAAGTGTGAGTTAAGGAATGAGCTAAGACTTAAAAATGAAATCATGACAAAAACTGCTTCAACCAAAACTAAAGGGCTATGACTTATATTACAATTTTCAATTACCTATCAAGAGTACAACCTAAAGGAAGTGAAAGCTTTTTGGACAGCTCAACGTACCCTCCTCTCGTGAATACATATCCTACATGTCAAAATAAAAGAAAATGGAGTTGTGAAACAGGACAAGTACGCTGAGGTTAGTTCAAACATATTTTATTCTATCCTCTCCTAAATATTAATTGTTTCATACATCAAAATTTATGCATATGATATTGAACCAATTCCACTTACATCTTCAATTCTAAAAAGATGGATTGCCTTAATTTATCAAAGAAAAAATGATATGATATTAACTAATGTTATTTCATTCAAATTTTATCGTATTGTATTCCCGTTCCAATTCCATATAATTGAAATTTGAACCATTTTAAATTTCTTTATTGTGGATATCCAATTAGAAATCAAATGTTGGCAAAATAACTATGCAAGGTAATGCATCTTCAACTTCAAATGGCTGCAAAATATAGATGCATCGTAGATGAACCAACTGAGCAAAAAATTTTACGTGAATAAACAGCCTCCCCACTCTCGGTGTACTCAAATTTAGCGTCCATTCCAGCATCATACTTGGAGGCCATTGTATCCTGAAAATAAGTTCCTTGCCGAACATCCCAACCATCGAGTGAGTTGACAGACTTGAACTTTGCGAGAAGAAGCTTGCTTTTGCTGCTTTTTCCTGCTCGTAGCTGTGCTAATCTATTGTTGTAATCCTGAAATCACAAAACAAGATGAAAATCCCGAGGCATTTTTACTGCAACTATGAGAATATGAGCCTGAACTAAAATCTTAAAACAAAATAGTGAAATATGAAAGAAAAGAGGCATAAAGAAGAGGTTTGTTTATGAGCAAGGAGATTGAGAGAGTACAACCTGCAACGCTTTGGTGAGATTATAGACGCCTTGGTGATCAACCCTGTAAAGGTCTGCAGTAATGGAAGAGCGAGCAGTAGCACAATAAATAATTTTGTTGCAGCCTTCAACTGCAGCTTTAAGAGTAGATGGTTCACCCACATCGCCAATTACTACCTCCACTGATCTAGGAAGCATATCTAGCACTTGTTCATCAGCCTCTCTGACCAGTGCCTAATAAATACATTGCGACAAAATTACACAAATAACACAAAGCATGATTAGCGAAAGCGAAATTTAAACAAGCAAAGAAACCTTGACAGAGTAGCCTCGGAGCATGAGCTTGCGGACAACTATGCGACCAATCCGACTAGTAGCTCCAACAACGAGAACAGTAGTGTTCTGAGCACCAGGAATGGCGAACTCGCACATTGGTCCTTCCCTTATGAGAAGTGCATCCAACGACTCATCATCAGTTCGAGTT